GGGCCAACCGGACTCTCTCCTGACACTGATTCTTGAGTGGGAAATGCAAGAGCAGAAAATATAGCAGTTGAACTGATTTTTTCTGGCTTGGAACCCTAAACACATTGCCTATCAGTTCTTGCCACACAGACCCTGGGGCACCTCTGGCAGGGCAGGGACTAGGCTGTTTATCTACACAGTCTAACTCTCTCCCTGGGCACATCAAACCAGCAGAAGTGACCCAGGCCTGGTCTCTAAAACGTCCCATAGACCTGCCTCGTTCCATCTTTCTGTGCGGCTGCGACCGAAGGCCTCCCATGCTGCAGAGTTGAACATGGAGCAGCCAGACCCCTATACCACCACTTGGAAGGGAGCGATCGGGTGAGCCTCCTACCCTCACCTATGACCAGATGAAGTAACCAACTTCCCTGGTGGTAAGTCATAGAGCTTTGGGCACTGCTTTTACAGAAGTTAACAAATGCTACCCTAATATACTACTATCCTTTTCAGAGACGGATTTCCTGTCTTCTTTGCAATTTCTTTCCAATGAATTCCTTTCTGCTCCGCAGCATGTAATCCTGTTGCTTTCCACCACAGTCCCCGATGGATCGACGCGAGTAATAATGTAAATGCCCAGCTGGAGAATGAGGACTAAGGAGCTGAAAGCATGTTCTCTCTTGAGACTGCAGATGTTTATTGTATTGACACTTTATCAGTCAACAAATAAATGCTCAGCACTAACATTTAAGAGGAACAAAGTAAGTATTAATTACAGATTCTGCCCATTTATCATTTGAGAAAAAAACAAAAACAAAAACACGCCCTCAAGCTCCCTTACTGCAGACCCTCTGCCAGGCAGTGCAGATGCAAACACAGACGAGAGGCGGTCCGCGCCTCTGCAGACCCGAGGCCCATGCTGTTGGGGAGCTCCCTGCGTTGTGGAGAAATCAAGACACGCCCGTGGGCAGTGGCCATGCTACCGCTCTCCTGAAGTGAAAGTAGGACATATGCCTGATGGGTTCCGTCCTTGGCCCTCTTCACTTTATATAATCTTCCTGGCTGACTCATCTATTCTTTCATGGTTCTGACTATCACTCGAGGTTCTCTAATCTATTGTCTCTCATTCTCGCTTCTCCACTGAGTTCCAGGCCTATATTTCTAATTGGGACACCACCTGGGTGCCCCACAGGCCTCTCATATTCAACACATCAAGAACCAAACTCATTCTCCTGCCCCCCAACCTGCTCTCCACCCTGTGTCCTCTGAGTTGGTGGAGCAGTTGGCTACCCAGCGCGCTAGGAGTCCCAGTGACCTGACTTTTCCCATTCCCCATTCCCGTCCCCATTCCCTTTCATACACTGGTCACCAAGATCCATCACTTCCTCCTCAGAAATGTTTCTACGCTGTCTCTTGTCAATCCACCCGCTCTGTGCTCTCCAGCAGCCCCCTGACTGACCCCTCTCT